ATAACAATCCACATTTCCTAAAAGACATGCACTTCTATTCTTCGAAGCACGCTTTCTACCCGATTGGGTTCAGGTATAGGAATCAAAACTTGACTTACTCAGTTGTAAGAGCACTGATAGAACGGGAGATTGTAAAATGTGCAAAGACCGTCCTTGTTGGAAAATCGTCTGAGATCAGTCTAGAATATGAATTTTTATCAAGAAACTATCCCGACATAAAATTTTTCAAGAGTTCAGAAGCAATACAGAATTATCCCAGTGGTGTTTCATTCCAGTACGCTTGGAAATCTCGGGTTGTTAAAACCTTTAAAAGGGTGGCTGAGGCGGGGATTTTGACCTATGTTGAAAAGCAGGATATCAGCAATAAAAACTTAAATCGCACCCCTGCCGTTGTAATCGAGAGCAGGGTAGATTTGAAACCGGCAAATATCGCTACTCTAAGGGGAGCGTGGCCATCTGTGTTTATATTGGCTGGTGGTTTGATTAGTGTGTCGATTCCAGTATTTATTTTGGAAAATCGACGTCGAGTTGGTGCATTTATTGTAGATATGTGGAGATCGCTATTGTGGAGTCGTTACAAGACGTCGAACAGATTAGCGGTCAGGGCAGTTGTTGCTATCGCAGTTGCTGTAAGCAATACGGGCAAAAACAATTAACGCTTGCCAGTTCTTCCAACTTTTGGTTACGGATGCATTCATCAAAATTGACTGATTACAATTCTTCGCCATGCGCGTGTGACCTCGCTACCAGAGCTCCACACTGATGCCAACATCGTCGACGGCGGCGTGACTATGGAAATCAGTCGGCGGCGACGGCGCGCCGTTTGACCCGATTGACCCGACGGCGACGCGCCGCCGCCGTATATGTATTCTTAAGTAGTTGCCACGAATGCAATTTCAACGCGGTGTGTCTTTACATTCTAAGTTAATTCACTAAGAAATCCTCCAATTGAGAAAGCTGGATTTATGTATATTGAAGGGATCAAAATCGTGGAAAGCAAACTTTACCACTGCCACCTAACCATACGTGAAACTAAATAAATCAATCAATCAATCAATGTATTTATTTGTTCAAACGATGGCCTCAGCCCATATCGCTACAAGAATTTTTGGAACATGTCATTATGAGTAAATATTTATAGGCTCGGAGACGAGTCTAAAGTTTTAAAACATTCAGTAAAAAAATAAAAAGTATTTTTAAAAAAGTCAGGACAATTTTTATACATATTGTAAAGGTCAATAAATGTTGGTGTGGTGTTGCAGAGAAAGTTGTTGAGGAATTTGGAACGTGGGATTTCCAGGTGATGGCAATGGAGAAGGTAGTGTTCGTAGTTTCCTTGGTCTTCATTACACCATGGGCAGATTAATAGGTTTTGTAGTGGGATCTTCATGTCATTCATTTTTAGGCTGAATAGGTTAACTCTTAATTGAGCCATTACTTGTACCATCGGAAGGGGTAGGTTTTGGTTCAGGTAGGGCTCCATCAGGGCGTGGGACTTTATTTTTGCATAATTTGGAGTTCGGGTCGAGTTAAGCATCCTTCTTGTGTCACCATTTAGTAGATTGCTATTTATGTTGGAGAGAATTTGAGATACTTTGTGAGGTAACGTTTCCTTGATTTCGGGTAGAGTGAGATCCAGTGTGTGGTCTCCAGCGAGTTCCAGTAGCAGATCCTTGAGTGTTTTCTCCCAGGATCTTGCTCTTGTTTTGATCCGAGTGGACCACCTAAGTTGCCATTTTCAGCACTGAAAGAGGAAGCTGGTTTCTTCTTTTTGCAGGAGTCGTAGAAGAAATCGTAGTGTACATTTCATAATTGAATATGTAGTGTGGGTAGTTTCCGTCTCAAGTCTAACAATATATCCAGGAGTGGATGGCGTTAGCCGAAGGAGCTTTTTCCAGAATTGGCATTGGACTTCTTCGAGGTGGTTAAGGGACCAGATAGGTGCTGAATAGAGTAGGACTGATTTGGCGAGAGACGAAAATAATTTTTTATGGGTCTCAATTGGTGGGATTTTAGCTTTCCGACAAATTTGCAAGACTTTAGCTGATGCTGCAGTTGCTTTCGCGGAGAAACATTTCGATGCTTTAAGAAAGTGCCCGTTGCTATAGAAGGTTACTCCTAAATAGGTGAAGTCCTCCACCACTTCGATCGGCTCACCTTTCCAAGTGAAATTGTATTGGGTCCTATCGATTCTTTTCTGGAAGACAACAATTTTTGTTTTTGCTATATTCAGGAGAAGGCTGAGGCTGTCTATTGTGGTTGCAGCGATATCCAATTTTTGTTGTAGATGTTCTGGGTTTCTGGCAATGAGGCCAGCGTCGTCAGCAAAGAGGAGGAGGTGAGCTTGGCTAGATCCGATTGGTACTCCGGGGATGGAGCTGGCGTAAAGGTCGTCCAGGATTACATCCAAAAATAAATTAAAAATTATGCAAGATGCACTGTCTCCTTGTAAAACTCCTTGATTGATTTCAAAAACCGGAGAGAATCCATTGGGAGTTTTAACTTTGCCATTAGCTTGTTTGTAAATATTTTGGAAAAGTTTAATGACTTTGGGGCCCACACCTTTTTCTTTTAGCCTTGTCCAAAGCTTTGTATGGGGAGGACTATCAAAAGCTGCTTTTAGGTCCAAGAATGCGACAAAAAGCTTACCCCCAGGATCATTTAGTGCTGATTGAATTAGTGTCATTAATCCGAAAATTTGTTCTTGCGTTCCAACTCCTTCCTTAAATCCGGTTTGGAATTCAGAGATTTTGCTATTATCTTTGCTCCATTTTTGTAGGCGTCTCGAAATGATGGAAGTGAGTAATTTTAAGCCAGTTGGGATTAGACTGATGGGTCGATAGTTCGATGGATTTTCTTTGTCACCTTTTTTGTATATGGGAGTCACCATAACTTCGCACCATTCTGTAGGGACTTCTCCATTTTCCAGCATATTATTTAGTAAACAAAGTAATTTAAGCTTGTGTTGGATGGCAATAGCTTTGTAGACTTCGTTCGGGATACCGTCGATCCCAGGAGCTTTTCGATTTTTCAGTTTCTTTATTGCAAGGCATAGTTCATCTATTGTTATTGGAAGATCCATTTCTCTTCCGCTGTTTGGTTGAGTTGTTGAAAGTTGACTCCCTGCCGATATTGTTGTCCCCGCGCTTGGGATGTTGTCCCCGTGCTGGTAATGTTTTTGATCACTTTCTTTATTTGAAAATTGGGCAGCGAAATAATTGTGCCAACTTTCGCCAGTGATGCCATTCGTCAATAGCCCGTTGCGAGGATTAAAGATCTTAATTGCACTCCAAAATTCTTGTGAGTTCTTTGCATTGATGATTGAGGTGAGCAGGGTTTGTGCATAGAATTTCTTCTTTTCAGCTTTGAGCTTGCAATAATTTGTTCTGAGATTAGAAAGCTCTTTTTGTAGTTGATTACTTACGTCAGGAGGGTGGACTTTTCTCATAATTTTTGACTTTGCATACCACTCGGATCTAACACTTTTGCAATCATCGTCGAACCACTTTGCTGGATAAATCTTGCCTGTAGATTTTAGGTTTACGTTTCTTAGAATGTCGATGTGCTTTGCGGATTTTAGAATGGCGTCTGATAATACTTCCCAAGTGCACGGTTGTTGTTCGTTTCCGATGTTGCAGTTGAAGATGGTTAGAAACTCTTCGGATTTGCTTGAGTCCCACCTAATTTTTTGGTATGTACAGTCATCCACCTCGTTTAGATTATTGAGTTCTAGGTGGTCGGGGCTGAAGTTGAGGCAGAGCATAATCGGGGAATGACACGATAGGGGGGAATTCATGACTTTAAAATCTGTTATATTTTCGGTGCTGGCCGGGGACGCTAGGCATAAATCTATAGAACTTGCTCCGTTATGATTGCGGAAAGTGAATTCACCAAGCCTATCGCTCCTTGATGATCCATTCAGAACCACCCATCCATTCTGGTTAATAAATTCTGTAAGAGCATGTCCTCTTGGGTTAATAATTTTGTCCTTGGAACTCCTCTTTTTAACATCGGTCAGTTGCTCGGTTGGTGCAGGCGAAAATTGCCCAAGTCTGGAATTTATGTCGCCAATAATAATTATTCCTCCTTCGTCATCATGGTCCTCTGCTTCGCTAAGCGTTTCTGTAAAGAATTTGTCTCCATTTCCGTCAGGTGGACAATAAGTAGCAACAAATTTGGGTGAGTTAATTTGGTCAGAAAGTTTAAACGTTATTGAGTGGTTAGTTTGTTTTAAAATTGTGGCGCTTCCTTTATGCGCAAATAAAATTGACCATGACCATGTGACCGTGTAGACGACGCCACATGTCGACAAACTGAATTATTTCATGTGGGGTGTCTATCGAAAAGTATAGTCGTGTACGTTCAAAGTACGGAGGAGTTATGTCGAAACGGGGCGAAATGAGACGTGGGGTAATGTGAGACAATTGGGGAAAATGACGGGAAAGTATTGGAAGACGATGTGGGTGTGCCACAAGGACATTTACACGTGTTTTCACCCCTTCGCTGCATTTCGTTTGCAACGGTTTATGTATTTTTAAATGATAAATAATAAATAATTTTTAAGCGTATTTTAAGTGTTTTAAGTTAACAACAAAATTTAGAATTGTTGAAAAATTTCAAATTAGTAACACTTTATCTTACGAGCTCGTAACGTTAGAATTTATATACATAAGCTCTAACCTTTCTGAATTCAAATTCGGTTGTCGCTAAAATCGTAATTGTGGCCCATATTGGGGTATTTTATTTCTAATAAGTTCTGGCCAGTGACGTAGGCGTTTAAAATTTCCATATGCGGCTTGGCTGGGACGCTTCACACAAACAATTAATAATTTGTTTTATATATTAAACATTTTGATGTGTTATTTCTAGTAATTTTTTCACAAAAAAGTTATATTCGGGTCAGCCTAATTATAATTCTACAAAAGTATTTATTTACATTTATTTCAATTCTGAACATATTTAAACTTATGTAATCCAAACCAAGAAATTTTATTTCCGTGTCATAAACATTTTAGAATTATTAAAATATCTAAATTTTACTCCTTGCAAAATTATTTACGCACAATTCATTATAGTTTGATCCCAAATTTATTTATATAAACCCTTCTCTCCAGACAAACTAGACTCAAATCTTGATAGAATAATGAATAATGCCGCCTTAAATCACCCCGGCTTCCTCACTTTCCACTAATCGTACCTTCACCCCCCCAATTTCTATATTTACCAATCTCTCATCCCTCCCCCCATATCCTTCTTCTTGCCTATCCAAAACACCCAACTCTATCCCATTCTCAATCCACTTTTGTACCTCAGCCCGTCTCATATTTCTCCTCATTTCATCAAAACTACTATTGTACCGCATGTTTGGAAAAGTAGTTGCAACTCGGTCCAAAAATTTGACTGAACCTTCCCAATCCCAACAAGTACAGTCATCTCCTCCATACGCACAGCTTAAGCCCCTCTCGCCACGCAACCTGAACCTATCTCCGGATGGAAGTGGAACATCAATGTGGTGCAGGGTCTCACAAACATCGCTTGAGAGGAACGACCCATACAGAAATTTGGCAACGGTTTCAAAATACGTTTCCCTGTCTTCATGTGTACTTAAAAACCCTACCCTGATCCTTTCCAAGAGTGGGAATTGCTTTCCGTAAACAATCTTCTTGGCGGCATTTTCAGTCTCAAACTGTAGTTGTGGGAGCACATAGTTGCAACCCATACATTCACTTGCTTTATACAGAGTTATTCTAAAACCCCTTAATCTCGGCATGACTGGAATCAAGACAAACTTGTAGTCGCATATGAGTTCAATGTGCATCTTATTGATATATACGTGTTCCAATGTGGGGGCAAATGTTCGGAGTAAGCTCATCCCAAAATGCGGAGCGTTGCCAGTGACGTTAAATTCAAACTTGGTAATTGACCAGACCGGCTGGAAGGTATTTGTTAGGGGGACAATATCTGCGTCAGGAACTTTAAACTCTAAATCTCTAATCCTTAATGCGGTAAGTCGAGGAAACGGGTTTGCGAGAAGCTGCATCTCAATGGCGTTTCTGTCCGGGTACAAATACTCGAGGGTGGTCACGTTGGGGAAAATTGCGCCAAGTTTTGCAACAGTTAACCCAGCAGCCATCTTTATAACACGCCGTGAATATATTGCCAATCTAGTAATCGATGGCAGGGGAGGTCGGCTACTTAAGCCTGTTAAGAAAGGCGACATATCGGCAATAGTGGCAATTTTCGAGCTTCGCGCTCCCAGGTGGCATTGACCTTGGAACAGGTGAGAAGATCGACGGTGGGGAGGAAAGACATGATTCTTTCGATGATCTAGAAATATTTGTTTTTGACTTATTTACGTATGTTGTAAGCGTTGATACTCTACCGTACCGTAAATACTCTATTTATATCCCTATTCTAATTATAGCCGGGTCTAGAGGCCAGTATTTCAAAAAATTTTCCGGGCCCCTAATTGTAGCCGGGTCTCCAATTACGACCTGACTTGTTGCGTATATACTTGTAGCCTTTCAGGGAAAACTAACTTTCATTTTTTTTTAGATATGAGTGCATACAATATTACCAGAAATTTAAAATCTATTAAATCTCGATGAAAAACTTTGATTTTAATTTAGATTTCAAATTGTATGAAAAACTTAAATGAAACTTTAGCCGGGTCTCTCATTACAACGGTTGTAATACAACCCGGCCCAGAACTGTCCTGGCAGGCCACGAAATTTTGTATTTAGCCCGGGCTATAAATAGGGTATATACGGTAATTGTAAAAAAGATATTTCGAACCTCGGGAAATAATGGGGGAGACGTTTGAATGTCGAGAGTTCTCATCATTGTTGACATCGTTGTGGATTTCTTACTTTTAGAAAATGCAAAAGGTTCTAATGTACCAGGTGAAATTTACAAATTTAGAATTGCATAGGAAATTGTAAAATTCTCTTACATTAGCGGGAAATACGGATGAAAATGCGGCAGGTTATTTGCTTTCCTCCCTCTTTATGTTAGGTTTTTGCAGCCTTTCTTTTCAACAGAAGCAACTCAGTAGGTGCACTGACCAAGTAAATGTTACTGACATTCTTGACACTGCGGGCACAAAAATCGTACCAAAAATAGTTTTGGCATTCTGAAAAGGTTAGAAAAATACTTTAACAGAAAGGTTTTTGGGTTGAAATTAACAAATGCATGATAAATAAGTGGAGAAATGAATATTCCGTTCTTGGGTTTCTTTTCTGTAAAAGGGTTCGGGTGGAATCTACCCATGCGGTGAAAATAGAAGTCTACATATACTCACGTCGATATTTGCATGTCGTGTTACTGATTCCAGTACCTTTAATACGGTCGGGTTTCTTTCTATACGAACAAAATTATTTGAATGCATGCATAATGCATAAATGCACCAAAATCCGTAAAAATGCATGGAGTGGAATTTGCGTCATATTTTCAAGAAATTGAAGCTATCCGCTACGATTTTATTCTTCCGGGACCACTTTTAAAATAATTAAAATTCTGAATGAAACCTGCTTATAACTAATTTCCGAAATTGGCCTTGTGGTCTTCAAGTTCTAGAAATGGCAGCAAAACTGACCATGAAAATACAATAAAACAGCACAAAATTTTCTTAGCAAATCAAATACTTATTTACAAGAATTGAAATATTATTCGGACTAAAATTATGCTTGTTCATTTTCGTTAACTTTCGTGCCCTTGTCGGTTGGTGTTATTAATCATTAAAAAACAGCTTTATGCTTAATTTCGTGCACGTTCTATTTAACAGTCGAAACACTGGTACATGGGTATGAATGGGTCATTGTTTCCCATTTCCAATATCATTGTCGAGTTTGAGGTAATCTTAGGAAAGGGTCATTGTCCCAATAAATCATCCACATTTGTCCAAAATACATTTAATTCTACCTCAATGAATGAACATCATCGTAAGTATAACAAGATTTAACCCAGAGGTCGACGCCGCCGATCTCACGCCGCCGCGCCGCCGAACGCCGGTAGTATTTTAGGCGCCGCCGCCGCCGAAAAATTTGGTTCCTATTCCTTCAATATTGGGACGCCGCGCCGCGCCGCCGCGCCGCCGAAAAATCCACGAAAATTGGCGCCGCCGCCGCCGAAAATTTGTCGGCGTCGACCTCTGATTTAACCCTATCAGACATTGTTATCTTGTCGAGAACAATTATTTATATGGCTGTTAGATGCGTATTTGTCCCGTTTTGAATGCTTATTAACCCTGCAAGGGAGATGATTAACAACAAGAAAATGTATGAATTCGGGCACAGTATACGTATGTTGTGGTCATGGTGCGGGAGGTGGAATTCGTAAGTTTTAATAAAACTCGAAAAAATTGAAAAATCCAAAATTTAACATTGCGTTATATTGGGAAATATCCGATTTTTGAGCAAGACGATCCTCAAATTAACATTTGGTTGGCATAGGAAGAATCCCCCCAAAATGGCAGAAAATTTTACGCCGCAGGGAGAAATGGTGAAAATCAATTACCTTCTGGAAACGACAATTGTCCTCCTCCCGCAGCATGACCACAATTTTCCTGGACGACTTTTGTCTTCCTCCCGAATTAAACCATTTTCAAGAAAACGACAATTATCCTCCATCCAAATTAAAGGGTTAATGGCATAATAGTACAAATATTTATGCCTAAAGTCGGATCAGATTAATGCCTCAATGTTTTTGAGTTGACGTAAAAGTATACAGGATGGCTCAAATGTTTCTCCTGCAAAAGAAGAAAAGCTGGTTAACTAAATCTTGTATCTGACCTTTACGATGCTCACGATTTACCACTCATGGTCACATTTTCAAAATTACATATTCACTGGTTCGAGAGCAAAGGCTGAGTTCTGTGGCTGGCTCGCGCTTAAAACTATCTCGGGAAAACATGTATGCAAATACACATATCGTCGGCTTAGTGAGTAATCCAGCTAAGTCCAAAATGAATCAAAAGAAATCCAGTCAATTCCAAAACGCGTCAAAAATAAATCCAGTCAAGTCCACCTATTTTGTACAGGACTTGACTGGATTTATTTTTGACGCGTTTTGTACTTGACTGGATTTCTTTTTGATGCATTTTGGACTTAGCTGGATTACTCACTAAGCCGACGATATCGAAAAGCAAGTACACTATCTGCATGTCATTGCCATAGCTTTTATCGTTTGGTAACAATTATTACCTCATTATTACCTTACCATCGTCCCGCTTACGTTATAAATCAAATAAACACGGCAATAATTCGGGCTATAATCTTTATTTTGAATGCTAGCATTCATTACCTATCCCTCAAATTTCCTGATTAATACCAAATTATTAAAATCGAATCATGGTACAGTATTTATTTATTGATTAACTAGTTGGTTACAACTTTGTTAGGCGTTTACGACCTATTCTAAAATAATTCGCTCTTTTGTATTTCGCCCAAATGAAGTTAAGAATTTTATATTTTTTTTGTTTATATAAATTTTAAAAAATAATAATAAACAAGTAAAAAATAATAATAATAAAAAATAATAATAATAATTTTTTTGATCATTTGATAATAAATTTTTATTAGGCCAAAGGAGAAGGATGAGCCTTTGTGCGACCATGTGCGATTTTTAGTCGGGAAATCATACACGGTTTTTATAGATTAATTATTATTTATAAATAAATAACGATTTATCATTATTATTATTTATTTATTACATATTTCAATAATTCATCTCTTACATATTTATCATCGCAAGTCTGAACCGAAGTTGATTAATTAAGCAATACAACCTTCATAATATTGACAACATTTGTAAGCAATCAACAATGTTAGATTATTTGTTTTGTATTCATTAATAAAATGTTAAGTATGTACTAAAACACAAAATCTAAAAATCTTGACAATCTAACAATTACATATTTTAGCCCAGTGAGGATGAACTTGATGAAGTGTTTACGTGTTACCCTGGCAGATTTCATGTCAATTATTAAGATATTAATTCAACCAAAGCTTTTCTGCAAAATATGAAGCGCTGTCTAACCTAAATATTTTACACCATTTCAAAATTATCCTCCCTTCCCTCCGCAAGAATATATGCTCCCCCACAACAACCCGTCTTTTTCTGAACGACTTGGCAAATCCAAGGAACACAACAACACGAGCAGAACGATACAAGACATAAAACCACGTATAAAACCATCGCACCATAAAAATAGGCTACCAAAGTGGAAAAATACGCGGTAATTACAAAATTTCGGAGCGGTTCTTTTTCAAGCAGCCATCTCCAAAAGGCATTCCAAACCCCACTCCCAACATCCGTGTAGACCAGACACGGCGAAGAATTTCCTTTGAGATATCCGATAAATAATTTTTTTGCGGAATTATGTCGACAACAAAAGCAATTTAACTACAAAAAGTATTTAACTGGTTCGAGAATAGCATCGCAGGTTAGTGGATATCGCGCACTAAAAAAAATGACTCAGGACAAACTTTTGGGCCACTCTGTACATAAATAAATGTATATCCGATTTGGTGAGGTAGAGTGTATATTAAAATTTGAGACACTTGATTCCGAATATTTCTGTTGTATCATTTAATCAGGAACAATTATGTGATAACATACCTGTGATAACTCATCTATAGACCGAGACCTCTTTCCTGAAACCCAAAAACATACATTTATCCTCTAGCCAGACATTTCTTTACTTATTTCTCAGAATATAAACTGGGAACCTTTTTCATCTCAAACCTATGGGTTTGAGATGATCCAAAATATTCTTCAATCCAAAACCTCACCAGAACGGGATATGATTTATTTTTACCTTTTTGGTGCCACATTTTCCTCTAAATAAATTTATTTAAACTTTTAACCGATTGATATAGGTTATTATTAAGTGTGGAAATGTGTTCGAAAGAAAAATACACGCGATGTTACTCCACTGGTCGGAAATTCACTCTGCGCCGCTATCGTATTCGGCATTGTAATATTTATTGTAAATATTTGCTGTGCATGGTTCGTACCCAGTTTTTGTTTCGTTTTGAGAAAAAATTTTTAAAATACGGACGTAATGTAAAGTCAAGAACTCAATTTGTTTTATTCATAAGTCATAACGGGAAAAAACATTGATTAACAATTATCCAGCGCCATATCTGTATTTTTTTTAATTGGAGACTCTCCGCAATAAACTTTTCATATCGAAAAGTTTCTAATTATGAAAACCAAACGACCAGCTTTTTAATAAATTTCTCTACCAAAGGCTCACAATTTAATTAAATTTAATCCTAATACTTATACCCTTAAAACCTTTCATGCTACGTCCAAGAACAGAAATTGTATTAATAAAAAAAAAGTATTCAATCTGCATAATAATGACAAACACAACTTCCTTTATTTTCATTTCATACTTATGAATTTACGGAGTTTCATGCATATGCCCAACAAAATCTCTTTGTTCCGACTCAATGAGCAGCATCTGTAACAGCTTCGACCCATCAATAACATGGGTAAGATAATCTAAAGGGTAGTCATGTATATCTGTACACCAGATCGCTCGTATATGACATTCTCCTTTCTCTCCCTTCCAGCCGAGCTATTCCTCCTACACTCCCCGTCCCCAAGCGCAAAATGCTTACGTACTCATATGCGTCCGTCCGTCCGTCCATCCGTCCGTGATTTCCAAGCCATAACAGCTTGGAAATTTTAATGTAATTAATATTGGGCAAAGGTAGAAATCTAATTTATACATGCGGTCAAACGAGTGGTTGACCATTGGGGGTTATGCTGGCAGGTGGGGTCAAGTTTCGAAATGTCGTAGATGGCTGAAATTTAGCTCATACCCTGTTTGTACTCTGGGTTAAATGAAATTACGATATTTTGCATCATACAATAAAGGGTGTCTATATCTATGCATATTTTTCAATTAACTAAAACAGACTAAAAGGGGCCCTCCAAAAATTAAGTAACGCGAAAATCGCGATTTTCTAGACCCCAACTTTAACATGGACACGATCATTGGGCCTTAGACCCCCACCCCCTCTCACGTTACGTAATTTATGGACAGCCCCTAAGTTGGTAAAGGTATGTAACTAATATTACTTACTGATAAAGGAATATGAGGATTTTTTACATCTGACATAACCCTGACAAGTTTACGGACTTGTCAAGATCCATTACCCAATAACAATACAACCTGGCTCGGGCTATGTGAAGTCACCCTTGCCCTTGTTGTTCCACTCCAAACTCCGTCCGCTTGCACTTGTCATCATATGAGTTCAAAACTTACTCTTTTAAAACGTAAATAAACGTCCGAGTCAATTGTTTTAATTATTTATACAAGTTTAAAACCCAACATACTCCTTGTCATTCTTCTCTACTACAAAATTCCCGGAAATTTTGTAGTCCACTTTCTCGCCTCCATTCCAAACACAAATATTACCCTGACCAGACTTAAATAAAAATAATTATAAAATGGCGACAGTTAACGATTCTGCAAACAGTCCGGAAACAACACCCCCAATCAGCCTGACACACCCACCATCTCGTACAATTACCATCCCACATTCCAAATTGCGGTATCAAAACCAATTATTGCAATCTTCCAACCACCACCACGAACAACAAATCACATCAAGAAAGACAAAAACAGGTATTAAAAAAATTACGGGGTCTTCATTAATAGGTCGAATCGTTGGAAAAAACAAAAAAAGAATGTTTCCCAACTTTGTCACAAAATTTGTTGCGATACAAATATGCGAACTTTAAATGAATTAAAAACTACCTATTTTACCAGAATTCAAACTTCTATTACATATTTACCTTGAATTTTTTTCAGTTTCCTTGCCAAAACTCATCACCTCTACGGACAACATCATCTCGAAATTAAACAACGACATGAAAACTTTACTCAATCACGTTTCCGGCTCCAGTGCCGAGTCTGACAAACGTTTATTTCTTGACTTTTCGACCCGTCATTGTCAAATGGTGAACGAGATTCGCAACTTGGCGTTGGATCTGGCGGATTTAGAAAACCAAATGAAAACCCAAAGCTCTTCGAAATCACCATGGAAACAAGTCAGATGTCAATGCAAGGAGGAGATTGATAAGGAAGTCGTCTCTCTGATGGAGGCTGAATGTAGCTGTATGATTTGCGAGGAGATTTTTGTGGACGTAAGTGTTCAAAAAACAATTAAGAATTCATTAATTTGGAAGATTTCAAAAAAATTATTTGCATACTCATTAATCCTTTATTAAAAAATTCGGCAAAATAATATTTTTCATTAGGTTCTGAGTTCATATTAACGAAGTTTGCTTTTGAGTGAATAAACCGTTAAGTTAAACGTATGTAACGAAAGGGTGAAAACAAATTTTTATATGTAGTAAAAATGACTTAAATTTTAGAATTATCCCCTGAATAACAGTTACGAATGACACCCCACATGACTAAATTCACGTCACAGGCTTTTTCTTCACCCGTGACATCGTCATCATCACAGGTGACGACCTACAGTGTCGGTTGACATTCGCTTTTACATGAAGAACTTATGTTCCAAATTTCAAATCGGTGTCAATTCGTTCCCAAGTTATCGCACAATCAGACAGAAAGAAAGGACAGACATATAAAAATTATATGTCTGTTCTTATAAATAAATTGTATAGGGGTTCAACCCCTTTATAATGAAGAAAAATATTGAATAATTATGCACGAATATGAAGTGAACAAATATTTATTCAATATTCACTTACTCACAAATTTGAAAGAAAAAATATTCATTCAGTATTTATGAATTTCTTGAAATAAAGATTCATTCTTATTAAATAAACACGTACAGTATGCAACTTAATTAAAGCTACGGTGACGTATTTTTTATATCGACGTGATCCTGTAATTTTCAAAATCTCAGACTATGCACAAAAATGTCGAAAGTATCTACCAAACCGGGCAAGTTCCTCGTCAGGGATTTTTAATGTCGTGGACAGGTTAAAGGTCATGTATAATGTTCTGAAAAAATTTGAGGAGTTGAAAAAAAACTCCATGGGTAATTTATTTTTGTCTTTCAGACATTTTTTATTAGATACTGCATGCGATTACGAGAAAAAAGAGGTATTGGTCGACCGTTTGCGATTTTTTTGACGCCCAAAGGATTTTTCCAGAAACATATTCCTGACCTATGACCTGTTGGCGACAAGGAACTTGTCCGTAGATACTTTCGACATTTTTGTGCAGAGTCTGAGATTTTAAAAATTACGGAATCATGTCGACATAAAAAACACGTCATAGTAGCTTTAATTAAGTTACATACTGTATAAGAGATCTATACCTGAATTTTTCCAAAAATGACTTTTAACTCACCCTTTCTTTCAGGCCACCGTGACCACCTGCGGTCACACGTTTTGCAACCTCTGCATTAAGAAATGGTACTCATCCTCACCCAAGCAGGACTGCCCCTTGTGTCGCCAACCCCTCGCGGTCAACACGGTCAAACGGAACGTGGCAGTGGACAGTTTCGTTACCCGGCTGCATTTACGCCTCTCCGACAAAATCAAAAAAGCTCGCAACCGTCTTCTAAATACCAGAAGATGTAACGTCCTCAAATTCGACGCGAAGCTACTCAGCTTCGAATCCATTCTCAACCCGCCAATTTCAAAAATCATCCCGCCCCATGATGACGAAGACTTTCGTCGAATCCGGACTCAAATCCGGCAAGAGTTAAGTTCTTCCTCCTCCTCCCACCCCCCCGTGACGTTGGACCTGGACAAAGTTGACGCTTCCGTTCAAACCGACTGTCCCTCTTCTCCATTCGATTCCTTTGATTCCAACCCAGTCTCCACTCTGGAAGAACTTTACCAACTTCTACAAACTGACCGTTCGCCAAGCTTTGATCCGAAGCCGTCTCACGACAAAGGTCCAAAGCCAGACGACAACGACGACGATGTACTGATCCTTCCCACACCTCGAAAAAGTGCGAAAATTCTGGATTTTATCGACATTAGTGACGATAAAGAGAACAACAGTGTAGGCGAGGCATCAGCCTCGTCCTCGTTGTCCTCGTCGCCCTCGTCATCGTCAGCAGCCTCGTCCGTACAAAACCTGCCTGGCGATGAGGAACCCATTCTCCTGCCCCAAGTTCCAAGCACATCTTCCAGTACTTCCGCTGCTACCGTGGATTTGCAAACCATGTTGGAACCTTCGTTGAATTTTATTACAACTCCGACTACAATTACTGCCGTACCCGGACCTCCCCCATTTGAGAGTCTTGTTTCCTCCACGACTATCCCATCCACTACTTTGACCTCAGCTCTGGAACCTCCATCCGTGAATTTGTCAAGCGTTTTGGAAAGTTCTTCTGATTCTATTATTACTCCTGAAATTGCCTCAGCAGCACTTTCTGCTCTACGTGAAACTCCAGTAGTAGATGAAACACCCCCAGTAGTTTCCCCCACAACGATCCCCTCAAATTTTAATTCAGCTCTAGAACGTTTAACGAGCAGCACATCGACCCAGCACCTCGTTCCGATCCGTCTTGGTATTAAAAGAGATTCGAATGGAAAACTTCTGGTGTTTCGAAGCGAGCCTAGGGTGCGAGAACAGTAGCCAAATGATCAGGCCAGTTCGCTGCTATATTCACCCGTTGCTGGAAAAGTCACGTGGCAGCGAACCGGAGCGAGCCGTGACTTTGGGTCCGTTCTGGACCCAAAAATTAAAAAAATGAAATTTATTGATTTTTGTTGCATAATGTGTGTCCAGGTATGTACTGTCGCGTTTGTTGGGAGTCTTCTAAAGTCCCCGAGGTTACATTAGGCGAATAAGCTGAACTGCATAATTTGTAACTAATTATTTTGTATCGCTTTATTTTCATTTCGACGTCAAAGTTATTAATTTTCCTAAATTCAAAAAACGCAAATGCATAACGTTGTCGTCGAAATGAAAATAAAGCGATACAAAATAATTGGTTACAAATTATGCAGTTTTGCATATTCGGCTAGTGTAACCTTGGGGACTTTAGAAGACTCCCAACAAACGCGACAGTATGTAACAACAAATTTTAATTGGTTACCCTCCCAATCGCTATCAATTTTGACGGGAAGAATAAAAAATCCAAATTACTAAGTATTTCAAAATTCGTCAAAATTTGTAACTATTGGAACGGTAACCTATTATAATTTATTATTGCATAACTAGACACACATTAGGCATAAAAACATCTAAATTTCGTTTTTTTTAATTTTTGGGCCCGAAAAGCACCCAAGTCACGGCTCGCTCCGGTTTGCGCCACGTGACTCTTCAAGCAACGGGTGAGTTGACATGTGTACATAGTAGGGAACAGGCTACTAAGGCAAATAATTAATTCCTGTTTAAACATACGGTGTCAAAAATCCTTTCGGATTTGACTGATAATAATATATTAATAATTATTATGACTGACTGATAATTTATGTAAAAAAAGAGTTTAATTATCAAACATTACACTTGTCGCAATGCGTAAATACCTGAATCACAATGTATACAAATAAATATGTAAATTATGTATGTAATATAAATATTTCTCATTTGAAAATAACTCATACGTGAAAAACTTACAGATATTTGCATTACTTTATTCAATACATACTATTTTTGTATTATGAAATGATACAAAAAAATATGTCAAATTTAGAGTAATGGTTAGAATTTGTATACGTTGATAAATAAATAATGCCCATGGCTATAATGCGTGCCAATATTATGACACGTTTTATGAGTAACTCTGCGCCATTGCTATGTAGTAATTTTATTACTTACCGATAATACTTTAAACCTGCGTGGTGGTAAATTTCTACCAGTACGGAATAAATTTATTTTCATGGCGATACTGGATTATCAAGAGTGTAAATAAAATCTCACATGGGGCTATTCATAAATTACGTAACGCTGCCCAGTATATGCAGGATAGGGAAAAAATCCTATCTTGTCCATGTTTGCGACAATCTTGACCTACACTGACCGGAACAATTATTTGGCAGACGCAACACCATGAATTGACGTGAATTTATCTGAAAAAGTTCAAGTGATTTTCGATTAATTCTTTTTGCAATTAGTAGATAAATTAAGTGGGAATATGATACCGCAAAACGAGTTTCGAAAAACAATTCTACACGGGACAAAGCTAGATTTTTCCGCGACTGTTTAAAATCAAAATGGGAACAATTATTTGGCATTTTTCCTTATTCATTGAAACATTACTTAATTTGAGTTGGAAATCACTTTTCGATTTTTATATAGTTAGATGATGTATTTTTCTTCATTTCCTCGTAATTCCGAAGGTAAACATTTGTAAACAGATAACTCCGATTGAGCCGAAGTGCGCATGATTTGACCACCACACCTGGGTCATTTAATTTCCCGTAGGGGATGATACTGGTAGCCCGAAATTTTGAAACTGCGCAAAATACCTCGCACAATGGTACAGTATAAAGTTTCAATGTACATATCTCCAAGGTCGATCGTACATAAACAAGGAAGAGGTTCAAAGCCAAATTTTCAACGGGTAGAAACTTACAATTCTCAAGAATATCTAGGTCAGCACAAAATTTCTGATTTCAAAGATCCAAATTCGAGTCGAAAATGACACTGGCCAATTATCTGATCAGAAAAAACCAACAAGAGTGACAAATAAAAATTTTCATAGAAGCCCCCCCCCATTTCAAAACCAGGGATTAAGACATGGCGTACGTTTGCTATGGGGCCCGTCAATGGAGACCAAAATTTCTGGGATACAATTTTACTGTCCGGCGATAATAAATAGTCGAGAACCTTTCCTTGTAAGAAGAAAGCTGGCGGACACTCATCATATTTGTGTACTTCAGAAAAATAACACAGTTCGAACAAGTCAGTCGTAATGTTTTTATGAACTCATTAAAATTCTACCTGTTATGGGCTCAGAAACGTGATGTCGCATGCGGCTTGGCTGGGACGCTTCAAACAAACAATTAATAATTTGTTTTATATATTAAATATTTTGATGATTTATTTCTAACAATTTTTTTTCACAAAAAAGTTATATTTGGGTCAGCCTAATTATAATTCTACAAAAGTATTTATTAAGTAGCGCAAGCTACTTTATGCGATCGGTTAGTTAGTCTGTCTGTCCGTCCGTCTGTCAACACTAAAACTCGAGAACGGCTTGTCGCAGCGACCTGAAATTTTTAACACATGTTCATCACGGGGGTAGGGTGACACCCTATTAAGGGGGTGTGGCCACTTTGTCGACATCATGTCGAAAAGCGTCGCCATGGCCTAATTTCTGCATTTATCGGTCGATTTGTATGAAATTTGGGCAAAACATGTTTTTTGGTGTTGTCGACATGTCGCAATATGGCGATTAAGGTTTCGAAACTTTTTTCGCCAAATTCTGTCGCCATGGCATAATTTAGGCATTTATCGGTCGATTTGCATGAAATTTGGGCAAAACGTGTTTTTCGGTGTTGTCGTCATGTCGCAAAATGGCGATTAAGGATTCGACGACAAATTTTGTCGCCATGCCCTAATTTCGGCATTTTGCGGTCGATATGCATGAAATTTGGGCAAAACATGTTTTTCGGTGTTGTCGTCATGTCGCAGTATAGAGCATGTGGTCAATTAATTAATTAATCAATCATTAATCAATTAATTGATCAATCAGTCAACCAATTACTTAATTAATTACTTAATTACTTTAGTTAATTAACTAAATTAATTTGAGCTTTATAGCGCAAATTAATTCTCAGCATTCTCAGCATTCTCAGCATTATTGCGCTACTTATGCATCGTGCTTTGCCGCACTTTATTTACATTTATTTGAATTCTACACATATTTGAACTAATGTAATCCAACCAGGAAATTTTATTTCGATTATTTTTTTTATATCAGAAACATTTTAGTATCAAAATGTTGTCCAGATTTCAGTCCTTGCAAAATTATTTACGTACAATTCATTCAATGCACAAAAAGTTGAGTAAAATTGCCACCAAGACAACTATTGAGTAAAATTTACCCCGCCAAAGTTAAAATTTACTCAAGTTTTGGCAAAAATCTTTCAACGTTGGATAAATTTTAACTTTTATTGTGTAACTTTTACTCAATAGTTGTCTTGGTGGCAATTTCACTCAAAATCGAGTATATTTTGCTCAATTTTTTTAGAGTGTTGTAGTTTAATCCCAGATTTATAAAACTCCTTCTCTCCAAACACACACGACTCAACCAATCTTGATAAAATCATGCCACCTTAAGTCACACAAGCTGCTTCCTCACTTTCCACTAATCGTACCTTCATCCCCTCAATTTCAACATTTCTTTCATCGCTCCTCCCAATATCCCCAGATGTCTCCAATACACCCAACTTTATCCCACTCTCAATCCACTTTTGAACCTCAAAGTGTCTCATCTTTCTCCTCATTTCATCAATACCAAATGAGTACCGGACGTTTGGAAAAGTAGTTGCAATTCGGTCCAAAAATTTCGCCGAATCTTCCCATTCCCAACAAGTACAGGTGGCTCCCCCAAACCCACATCTTAAGCCCGACCAGACCCTCTCGCCACGCAACTTGAACCTATCTCCGGTTGGAATTGGAACATCAATCTCGCCCAGGGTCTCACAAACATCGCCATTTTCTCCTGAGAGGAACGACCCATACAGAAAATTGGCAATGGTTTCAAAATGCGTTTCCCTGTCTTCTTGTGTTCTGACTTTTTCATAAAGCCCTACCCTGATCCCGTGCAAAACTGGGAATTGCTTTGCGTAAACAATCTTCACACACTTGGCTACATTTTCAGTTTTAAACTGCAGTTGTGGGAGCATATACTTGCAACCCGTAGATTCACTTGCTCCATATATAGCTATCCTAAAACCCCTTAATCTCGGCATGACTGGAATAAAGACAGACTTGTAGTCGGATATCAGTCGAATATGCATCTTATTGATACATACGTGTTCCAATGTGGGGGCAAATGTTCGGAGCAAACTTATACCAAAACGTCCTGCGTCGTGTGTGACGTTAAACTCAAATTTGGTAATTGACCAGACCGGCCGGAAGGTGGGTATTAAGTGGCCAATATCTTCCTAAGGAGCTGTATACTCTATATCCATAATTCTTAACGCGCTTAGTCGAGGAAACGGGTTTGCAATAAGCTGCATCTCAATGGCGTTCCTGTCGGGGTCAAAATACTCGAGAGTGGAAACGTTGGGGAAAAGTGGACCAAGTTTTGCAACAGTTAACCCAGTCGCGTTCTTTGCAACACTCCATGAACATATCGACAATTTAGTAATCGATGGCAGAGGAGGTCGGCTACTTAAGCCTGTTAAGAAAGGCGACATATCGGCAATAGTGGTGGTTACCAGAGTATCAGTGTAATGATAATGATGACACAGACTTAATTCTAGAGCGGATAAATTATGCCCGAATAGGTGTAAAATTTCGAAAAAGCGGCGAAACTCAGGACCCCCCTGCATAATGAAGGGGAGAAATAAATGCTTGATTTTTCCTCGAGAATTTGAAGCTAATTTGTCAAGTTTAGATAGAAACTGTTGAAATTCCTCGAAATATCTGTAGCATGTGTGGAGCCGTTCGTGATAATTACCTCGGACGCTCATTAGTGTGACGTACTCTTCAAATTTGGGATATCCGGCGTATCCAGTTAGTCTAATGGAGATCCTGACGCGGACATGTTTTCGAGCTTCGCCCTCCCACGTGGCATTGACCGTGGAGCAGGTGAGAAGATCCACGGTTGGGAGAAAGGACATGATTCTTTCGATGATCTGCAAATACTTCTTTTTAACCTACCTTTTTTAGTGGTATGTAGTAATTGTAAAAAAGTATAATTCGAACCTCCGGAAATAATGGGGGAAACGTGGAAGTTTCAATGTCCAGATTTCTCGTCATAGTTGACATCATTGTGGATTTCTAACTTTTAGAAAATACAAAAAAGAGTAATAAGTCAGGTGAAATGCAAAATTAATTGTTATTAATTGTTATTCGAAATTTGAAAATCTCTTACATTAGTGGGAATTACGGATGAAAGAAAATGCGGCAGGTTATTTGCTTTCTTCCCTGTTTTCATTAGGTTTTTGCAACCTATCTTTTTAACAGAACCAACTCAGTAGGTGCACTGACCAGGTAAATGTTCCAGGCAGAAAAATCAGACCAAAAAGTTTCGTGTTGTCCGAAAAGGGTTGAAAAATAGCTTAGCAGAAAAGTTTTGTGAGTTCTAAATTAACAAATGTCTAATAATTAAGAAATGAAGAAATGAATATTCCGTTTTGGGTTTCCTCTCTGTAAAAGGGTTCAAGTGGAATTTACCCATGCGGTAAAAATAAAAGCCTAAAAATAGAGGTTTTTTCCAAGGGTTTCTTTCAATGCGAACAAAATTATTTGTATGCATGCAGAGTGAATTAATGCACCGTAAAAATCCGTAAAAATATATGAAATGAAATTTAAGAAATTAATGAAACTTAATGTATGCAATTTAGTTTATTTATGAAATTTAGTCATATTTTCAAGAAATTGAAGTATTTATGATTCAGCCATCCAAAACTGCTGCGATTTTATACCTTCCAGCACCACTTTTAAAATAATTAAGGTTCTGAATGAAACCTATTTATACCTAAAATTCCCGAAATTAGTCTTCAATTTCTAGAAATGGTAGCAAAACCATGAAAACAGCATAAAATAGCACAAAAGTTTCTGAGCGAATCAAATATTAACAAAAATTGAAGTATTATTTGGACTAAAATGATTTTTTTCTTAATTTTCATTCACTTTCGTGCACTTTTCGGGATTTTTGGTGGGTGTTATTAAACGTCAAAAAACAGTTTTATGCCTAATTTCGTGCCGGTTTTATTTAACAGCAGAAACCCTGACATGAAAATGGGTCATTGTTTCCCATTTCCAATATCAATGTCGAGTTTGAAGTCATTTTAGGAAAGGGTCATTGTCCCACCTTATCTTCCACATTTATCCAAAATATATTTATTTCCACCTCATTGAATGAACATTATTAGTATAACAAGATTTTTAACCCTGTCAGACATTGTTATCTTGTTGAGCACAAGTATTTATACTGCTGTGAGATACACTCTTAGCAACCTGGTAATAAAAAAAACAAGCGGAGTAGATATATGGCTCTACCGTGACGGAAGTAAAAATTTACACCATGTTGGTATAGATCTAGTAATAAAGTAACACTTTTTGGTAATAATTTTAACACTAATTTGTGTTACTTTTTTTACTATATATTAAATTTACCTCTAAATTCAAGAATTATGACGGCATCCGGCCAAAAAAAAAACAAAAAATTGTGCCCTCGTCACCTGATCAGTAAAAAATTGACTCACTGGGCTTGCCATCGATTAGTTAGAATACTTGATAAATTATTCATTTTTATCCTTCACAACAGAGCAATTGACACTTGGTGTATATTATCTTCGTTCGTGTTATGCAAAATGAGGCACATATTGACATATTTATTACATATTTACATCGTAAACGAACTGCTCAATGAGTGCGTCAACATTTAGATTACCTGGACTTGATCAATTGTGATGAATCACTTATGTATCAACATCCAGTTTCATTAATATCCATTTATAATAAACGATACCATGTTTGCATTTCGACTATTCCCCCTCGAGGAGTGGGAGGAGGTCAAAGGTGGAAAAATCGCACAGTCTGCGATTTTTGGCGCAAAGGCGGGTCAATATTTTTTAAAACGGTTTTCGCCAAAAGTTTACTAAATTTTTTGTCTACAATAGTTTTCGAGCGTTTTTTGAAATTCCATAAAAAATTTCATATTTCTGGACTTATTTTGGTATTGAAATTTCAAATTTTAAAAAATCGCGCAAAATTGTTGCGAAATCATTGAAAATTACCTTAAACTAGTAAAAACGGAAAAAATTCATATTTATCTGGGGCTGCTTAGTTCCGTTAAAAAATGAAAATATTGCAGTTGGCAAATGTACCCAAACAGCCGTTTTTGCCATCTTCTTGACAAGTTTTTCGATGGAAAGCAACATCCGAGAGTGGGTGTGGCTGGGTAACAATACGTAGACTTGTTAGCCCTAGAACCGCCTTTCACCGATTTTGGATATCATGAGTTACTACAGAATTCCACAGGGTCAAAGTGGGCCACCTGTCACTTTCCGATTGGGCGTATTCACGTCAAGCTTGCGTCTCTTCATACATTTTCCAACTATTTTCATTTTACCATGAAAATATTTCTACATATTTTCATTTTATCATTTTTTAACACCGTTGTTGGTACGCTACTGAGCCGTCATCCATTCATGCCCAACTACTTACAAAATTTACTTTTAACAAATTTGAAACAACTTACAATTTCAGTTTTTCAAATTTAAATTGAAATTTCTCAGATGTATAACCTCGAATAAGTGAGAGTTTTGTTTATTTTTATTATTTAAAACATTAATTTATAAATTCCTCAACGGCAAATAAACATGGAAAAACTTAACTTACTTTCCATTTCCAAAGCTTTGATAATTTTGATATCCAATTCAGTTGAAAACGAAGAAAAAGACCCGTGGGAGGAGGAATTTGAAATTGCCGAAATTTTATTGGATAAATTGTCTGAAATTGTTCACGACTATGTATTTGTTGAAGAGGAAGAATTTACCGAAGGTAGTGTGGAAGCATAACTTTGGGCTTACTATTATTTTTTATTATGGTATTAATCCGATGCAAATAATTCAAAATAGATGAAAGCAGAATTCAAAGTTCTGAACAATATGCAGACGAGCATGGAAATGATATTGTGCAAGACGAGATTCCTATGGATTACAAGGTTAATGCAATAAATGCGTTCGATTCAAATAAAAAATGGAAATATTCGAGCTTTAAGACCAAATTTAGGAAGGTCAAGCATAGAAGTTACATAAACCGATGGAGAAAGCAAATTGCGCAGGGTAACTTTATTATATTCGTATAAAATGCAAATACAGATTTTTCACTCTAAAAATTCTCTAAATTTTTACTCTATTTGCGTTAGGTGGAACAAAGTTTATAATCATGAGAGACATTGAAGAGTATGTGATGCAAGAATTTAGGGAATCTAGGGAGATGTTTTTACCAATTCAAACGAATGACATCCGAAGATGGGCTTTACTCAAGGCTAGAGTATATCCAGATTTCAATTTCAAAGCCTGTGATACTTGGATAACAATTTTCAAAAGAAGAAACAAAATATCTTCCAGAAAAATTCAAAAATTAGTCAAACGAATGCACTATAAGAACGTGCAAAATATTTTAGAAAACACCACTAAATTTCGTGACGAAATAAGGCAAATTATTTCAGCTTACGAACCATCAAATGTATGGAATATAGACCAGACAGGGTTTAAGTACGAAATGATCTCGAATCGAACTTTGACTTGGAAAGGGGAAAGGTCTACTTTTGGAACAGCTTTCTCCCCGAAAAATAAAGCCACACATTCGGATACCGTGCAGTATACAATCGGGTATGATGGATCAATCTTACCTAAAGTATTTATTTGCTTACAGGTAATTACATATGTGTATTTAATATACAATTTCCTACCAAAAATTTTGTAGTAATTAATAAATGGAATGAATAGGAACCTGGCGGATCATTTGGCCCAAATGTGCAAAAAAACCTTTTTCATGCACCAAATATTGTTGTAGTTGCAAGCAAATCCGGGAAGTTGAGTAAAAAATTAGTTGAAGATTTTCTCGATGAAATTATCACCCCCTGTGCGGAGTACAATCAAGTACTATATTTATTGGATAATTGGACGGGACAAACTAATATGCAACTTTACGAAGACAGATATGAAGAGCAAGAAACATTTGACTTTAATGTAAAATTTATTCCGGAAAGCTGTACGGATCTGTGCCAACCATTGGACACCTATTTTCATCGTCAATTTAAATTCCGCGTGAAAAAATTTTACTTCCATAAAGCTTTACAAGAAAAAGGGAAAACCTCACCTTTAAACTTGCGTAACGGTATTTTAAAATTGCATTCATTAGCTCATTATATTTTAAGTGCTCCTATATTTGTCTCAATGATTCGGTATTGTTGGTATTCGAGCGGGTTGTGCGGTGATGCCGAAAAACCCGAGTTTCAAAATGTAAGCGAAGTTTGCTTTAGAGACAGAAATTTTAGTTGCATCCTGAATTGTGGTAATGCCTCATTCATTAGATGTAGCTGGTGCTGTTTATCTTATTGTTTTGAGGACTTTTATGACAATAATCATATGGTCACATGTGCTATGAATAATTAATGTTTTCTTATACTAAACTATATTTATAGTTGATGAAGTGTATCACTTTTCGGAGTCAAAATTAATGCGGGAGGAAGAGAATGTTAATTAATTAAATTCAACATGTACGAGATGTATTATTTCTTATTTAAGCCGTAATTAATATTTTATTCTGGTTATATTTTATTTCACATCACTGCGTATGAATGTTTTTGTGTGAGTGGGAAGCCTGAGTAAAATTGATGCGAGCGGAAGAGAATGGAAGTGGAGTTTTCTTTCTCCGCCTGAAAAAACTCGCCCATTTTTTCAACTTTGACCTCAAATATTTTGACAAATCCCAACCATCGCACAAACTGCCGGAAGAAACGATCATTTTTTTGACCTGGACTGCTTATTTCCAAAATTTGAACCAAGTCTGAGAGTTGCACTTCACACCATCGCATTGTAAGCGTCTTTTATTCCGTGTCGAACTTATTGGATATTTTGATATTTTTTCAGTGTTTCGAATGCCCGAATTGTGGCAAAAGATGCAAATCAAAAGGGGAAGCGAGAAGTCATTCGTCATTTTGCAATAAAAGGAAATGAATTGTCCAACTAGATAAATTTGGCCCAGTATTTTTTACCTGAATTATGTATGTCTGCACAATTTTCAGTGTTATTTAATGGTCGAGATTTTTTTAAAAACATTGGCACCTAGTAAATTTGTAAATGTATAAATTGGTTCGTTATATTTAAACATGATTTGAAATTTTATTTTATTTATTTATATTTTTTTATACTCGTTTCCTTTAATATTTACTGTCCGGTTTAAATAACTTTTCTTATGCTTTGTACCAACACTGGTACCATTGGTCGACATGAAATTCGGGCCGATTGCTTATTTAAAATTTATTCGTACAACTACATTTATGAACCTTTTGAAATAGTATAGTTTTCACAGTTTTTTTTCAATTTTTCAATCGTCTTTGTAATATTACTTTTAACCGAAATTGTATTATAGATTTTAGTTC